TCTCCACCCGTTTACATGAGTCCTTTAGGTTGGACGTAAGTCCCTATTGCTAGTTGGGGCACTGGGTATGTGTGTATCTATACTGGCAGCTGGTCTCCTTATTCATATCTTTAATGTTGATGAGGAGAGAGAGGGAGGGGGAGGGAGTGAAGAGGAGAGACAGGTTGTTGGATATTTTGTGGCTCTCCTGATTGTACTCTTTGTGGCTTTCTTTGCATCTACCTGGGGGTGAGTTAGGGATAGTGTTCTCATTCCTGTACTTAGTATGGAAATATGGGAATGGGATGTTATAGGTAGATTGTAATAATAAGCAATTCTTTTAATGGTGCCAAGTGGAATAATATCCATGCATTACCCATGATGAAATAACTATAATTAAAAGTCATGCATGCACAGCTAGTAGTTTGTATGGCAACATGAGTTTGGACTACACTAAACAAACTACTTATTTTGTGATTTTTGTCCCAGAACATGAAGTTCCTATTTCTCTTTATAGTTTGTATAGCATGCAGATGAGCTATACAAACTTACAATCCTGAATCATGATAAATTCTGCACATGATGTTTATTGATATTTCTCTCTATAGGCCAGTCGTTTGGGTGGTGACTAGTGAAATATTCCCTCTCTCTGTTAGAGGTTAGCTGATACTGATCTGATATTGATACTGACTTGAATTAATGCACATATTCCTTGTCGTCTTCTCTCTCTCCCTCTCTCTCCCTTCCCCCTCTCTCTCTCCCTCCCTCTCTCTCTCCAGGTGTTGCTGTTTCAGTCACTACTTCTGGTAACTGGATTGGGAACTTTGTGGTTGCTATGGTAACCCCAATACTTCTCGGTTCTGTACTAAAGACGGCCGGTACATTCTATATACTGGCAGGTTTTCTCTTTGCCTCATTTTTATCTGTGTTGCTAACACTTCCTGAAACAAAAGGAGAGAGTTTAGAGAGAATTGATGAATTGTTTCTGAGGCCATGGCTACAGAGGATCAACCTATTCTACTATCTGAGGTACATGTACATCTTTACATAGCTGCTTGTTTAAAAGCTGATCATGAAGTTCTTTTGTAGCTACTGTGAATATAGCTGTGTGGGAAAATGTGCAGGAAGAGTTGAAGAACTACTGAATAAAAACAATATTTAACCTTTATTCTCTGATAGGTGTTGTTGTCCATGGTCTAATGCTTGTTGGGTAAGGACTGCACAAGAAGAGGACACTGTAGCCATTGTTGGTATAAAGAATGAGAACAAAGATGATACGAGTGATGAGGCTGAAGATGAGTGAGTCTTTAATTCTGTCTCTTCCTCCTCCTTGATTTCCTCCCTTCTCTCTGTCTCCTCCCTTTCTTTCTCTACCTCCTTCCTCCCTCTTTTTCAATCCCATTATTCTAATCAGTCATGCATGTACTGTTTCTCTTTACAGTCTCTGATAAAAGGTACAGGTGTTCTCAAGTTGAGTCTAGTCTTTTAGCTAAATTTGACAAATAATTGATGAGCAACCTTTGTATCATTTTGTGTACTAATAGCATTGTTAGATTTTTATGATATGGACAGATTTTATTATTTTGCTATTATTTATTTTAAATTTATGCATGCAGCAAGTTGTACAATATATGTAACTCATTATAATAACCGTCAGAACTATGACATGGGTAGATCCACTAAATCTTGCCAATGTCACATACCGGGTATCTAATTCTTTACTTTATAATTGCAACACTACATAAGCTCTTAAAGTCTACTAGCTGTAGCTAAGCTGCACAATTGAGCGTGACATAGTGATGGCATGCAGCAACTGGTGTTTGAGACTGAGACGATACATTTTTGACCAGTAATGAAACATAATGACAAACAAATTAAACAACAATGCATCAATACAGAGAAAAAACTGAAGAATAAAATTCTATTATTAATTCTTCAAGTATTCAGTATTATTAAAACTTTACAGGCAATGCAGAAATAGAAAGATATACATGAAAAAATAGTTAAAACTAGTTAGAAGTGCTGTAAGACCGGCGTTGCAACAACTTATGTCATACAAATAAGTGTAAGTATAAGGGCACTGAGCCTCACACAAGACAATTTTTGGGTACTTTACAGCAATCACTCGCCACGACCTATATATATAAGAATACAATGGCTGCCAGTCAGTGCTAAAATTAATTTCACTAACCATTTCTTCTTTTTTCTGAAAGTATCTCGTTCCCACTTCTTGCTCAGGCTCCAGCAAAAAGTAATGATCATTTTCGTCACTCTTGTACCAGATGATTCTATCATCACCAGCGATGATGGCTGCAGCTCGACCTGCTCCACTAGCTGACTCTTGCACTGGTCTACGAGGAAGAGCTGCCGCTATCAAGTTAGCTCTTGCTTCTCTAAGCCACGTTATACTAAATAACAGTATAAGTATCATGTTTCAACTATGCAATCAAAAACGTCCCGAGAGACTTGTTTGAGAAAACCACGTAGTATTAATTATCTACGAGAAAACCAAAAGGCCACGCGATTAATTAAGAGGCTGTCATGCCATAGATTGTGTTACTAAGATTGTGTTACCTATGGTGTTACTAAGATTGTGTTACTTAGTAATACAATCTATGGTCATGCATACACCCCCGGTGCCGTAGACACAGTTGATCACGTGATTGTTGTACGGTATGTCTATGAATTCATTCACGATCACGGAAAGTTACTCCGTTCGAAGTTGGAAGGGAAGTGAAATCTACTGTAAAATTTATAATTTTAAAAATGTTCTTCATTTTATGGAATAAGGGTCACTTAGGCCTAGCGCCTGCTATGTATACACTTATCCACTATCTATGCACTTATCAACAACCCAAGAAATATGATAGGTCAAATGACGCCGGCGACGCAGTCATTTTCGAGTCGGCATCTTTTTTGACACTTAACTTTTCGCCTCTACAGCTTTCATGCTTCTGCTATTCTGTGTTACCTCATATTAGTCATTCCATAGGTAATTGAAAGTTCTTTTATTCTGACAAGCTTTTTAGTGTTTAGCTAAAAATGTCTTCATTACTGAGATATAGAGAAAACAGCAATTTTATGGGCAAGAGCGGCATCATGTGATAATAGTGCAAAACAGAACTATTATCTATGACTTATCAGCTCAGTTTAGTTTATGCCATGCCTACCAAAATTTTGAATTTTCATGCATTGCAACTTGGTTAAACTTATGTAATAAGCATGAACTACACTTGCATCATTCATAATGGTCACGGCAAGGGTCTGTACTTAAGTGCTCCTGAGTCTGTTACTTATACATAGCCCTCTCTCTTTTTCTGTTTATATACCATGTATTTGGTCCATGCAAAGCTTCACTTACTTTGTACACATCTGAACTGAACCCTATCTATTTCATTTCTGTTTGATTCTTTCTAAGAGCATTGTAACTCTTGGTTGTATTTCAAAAAATTAGTAAGATCATATATTGTGTATTTAGAAGTCTGTGTTGTAGTCAGAAGCCCATACTCTCCAGTCCTTCCTCTAAAAATTGTTTATATATTCTCATAAATTTTGCTGTGAAGGCCTCAAGATGAAAGATTGCTTTACTACCCAGTTGTGATTGAGCTTGATACTGAGCTGCTAATTGAGTCACTTCAGCTTTCAGTGTACCATCACAGTTAGCAACCAGCTCATTCAATATCCTCTGTAGAAGGAAAATATTAGAAAAATATTACAATTAGTTTTATATACATGTACATGAGTAATCTCCTGCTACTCTCCCTTTCTTCTAGTAGAAGAAAGTTTTCTCTTTCAATCAAAATTCACTATGAGTCTCTCAGTCTCTTCTCTCTCTCTCTTAGTTACTTTAAAAATAATATCAGGTGGTATACAATGAGTTAACAGCTCATAATAACGTCCTCTTACTTCAAGTAACCTCAAAAATAAATACAAAATAACAGTAATATGAAACAATTGTGCATTTCAGCAAATCCAGCACTGGTGCTGTTGTAGTTTGTGTCTCAAGGGAGTTAATAGTATAAGTAGTGAATAATATTATAGTCTTGTACCCCGCCCCTTTGCTTTGGAGTGAAGGGCGGGGCACGAGACTAATAATATTATTATAAACAACTCATGAATAACTACCTTTGATGTTTTGATGCTAATGAGGTATCAAAATTGTGTAAATCCCCTGGGGCTGAGCTGGGGCCAAGAAAGCGTACGTGTTTGTTTTCACAAATTTTGACTAAAATGTTAAAATAGCCATTATTACTGATAATAGTAATAGAGAAAAGTCTGTGGGCTCTTCTTTCAAGAATAAGACCTTCTCTTGCTCTTCTACACTGTGGATAGCCCACTAGAGTGATCTTCACTGGTGTCATCCAGCACGTTTGGCCCCAATGTCAGTCAAAGCAACCCTAGAGTCATATCAGTGTGAAATTAGCTTCATTCAGTCACTTCTTCTTGCACCAAACTGACCAAACCCAGTCCAACCTTCCATTGCATTTTCTGCTCTATGAAATGCACAATCCGCCACAATGTCCCTGTGCACTATGACATGTGGCATTGGATTCACAATGCAGCCGCACAGCTATAATAGCCTTCGTTGTTTATATCGGTTTAACACCTCCTGGTCAGGATTACAAAATTTTAACCCTCGGGTTTAAAATTTTGTAATCCCTCTTAGTCGGTGTTAAAACTACATATATTGAACAGTGACAATAATTTTCATTACAAGCATACCTCTTAGGGCTCTGCTCTGTGATGATCATTGCAGCTGTTTCACGTAAGAAAACCTCCCACTCACAATCAGGGACAACCTGATCATCATTGAAGGGATACCTACATGTATCAGGAAGAAGAGAAAAAGGAGTAAGAGGGGAAGAGAGAGGAAAGAAAGCGGTACTGTATAACTCCAAATTTTTGGCAGTCACAAATTTTGGCAAAATCTTAAAATTAATATTCGTCAGTGAAGTTTTTGTCATTTCTGTTATAAATCCACATACTACCCACGTAAAGCAAAAATTTCGTTGGTCAAAAATTTCGTAAAACAAAATGCCTCAAGAATTTGATAAAATAATAATGACTGATAAAAATTTGGAGCTATACAGTACATTTACATAATGTACACTGTACAGTACAAAAAATACTTAATATCAAATGGAGTGCATTATCCACACCAAACAGATCTGTTGGTGCATGTGTTTACTGCATGGTCTGATCATGAATCATTTGATTCCCTTACTGCTGAACACGACACGCCTCACAAAGCAGTATAGCTTTACGAAGGTTTCTCTCTGACTTCTCTGCAATCCTCTTGGCTAGTGTATCTGGTATAGTCAATGATTCTTTATGACAAACATACTGTAGGACACTACATATCTACAATAATAAATAACAATTTAAAAACTAGAAAAATGTAAAACATCAAGGGGCTCTGCCCCATAGCGATGCGATCATCATAAAATAGGTTATTTAACTTTAATATTTAGATGACCCTACAGTACAGGCTCACTTCATCACTAAAGGCTTTGCTCAATAATACATTAACTTCTACCATACGCAGTTTGAATTGACCAGTCAATTGGAGGTTTTTCTATACTACCGCATAAAACGATTTGGAAACTTTCAGAAACACTTATTAAATTGTGATTGTAAAACTGTCCACTTATCAAGCTTTAACTAAGTGAAATAAATCCCATAAAAACCTCAACCTTGGCGTATGAGTATAATCTACACTTATTCATTACATAATGTATTCCTTACCTCATCTATGGTTGGAGCGGGGACCCTAACAGCCAAACACCTGCTCTTGACGGCTGGTATTAGTTTACTGGTTGAGTTACAGACTAGTATAAGACGACATGTTCCTGTGTATAGTTCCATTGTTCGTCTCAATGCATGCTGTGCATCTTTAGTGAGTCTATCAGCTTCAGTCAGTACCACAACTGAACAATAAATAAAAACATAATATTATAACAACTTTTAAGGAATGAAGAAAGAGGTAGTTATTAAGTAGATTAATTATTAATTGTAATAATAATAAGAATTATGTTTACTACACTAACAATAATAATAATCATGGCTACATGTAATGCTGTAGAGGAATTACCCCAATAAGCAAAATAAAATATAATGCTGATTCAACAGCAATGAATACTATTTCAATCTATGTCATCTATGTCATCTAGTATCTATGTCATTTATCATACCAATAAAAAGTTGTATAACATGCATTTTATACAACTTTATGTTGCATTTTATGCAACATATTTTAAAATGCATGCATCTTATGTTGTGTAGCAAATTTGACCTGATTTCAATCAAAATTGATTTTTTTTGCAAATTTAAAAGTAGCTCAAAAATTGTGCCAAAGTCCCTATAGCCAAATGTTGCTAAAATTAAAAGGACAAAATTCTACACTTTTATAATTTTTTTCTGATATGTATTACACACACGTATGTTGTTTCAATACTTTAAACTCATTCTGAATAAAATTGGAGTTTACACAAGTTTACTGACCTTTAAAGTCTTTGTGGCTAGTGTCCAGTGAGTGTGATTGAGCTACTTCTTTCAGTAACCCCATAATGACAACACGATCATGAATACCGGCATCACTAGAGAGAGAGAGAAAGGAAAGGGAGAAAGAGAAAGAGAGAGGGGAAGAAGAAAAAAAATAAAGGATGAAACAGGCATATCTACTTGGCATTTATTCAAAATTCGAATTCAAATAATATTAAATTAAAAAGGATCACCTTGGGTTCATTTCAATGTGATAATTACTAGCGACCGTTGATATCTCAATCTTCTTTTTCGATGGGGTCTGGGAATATAAAAAATCAAAAAACCACGTGAGACTCAATAATAATAATAATAATAATGTATATACAAACAGTATTGAATAGCACACAGAATCAAAATTTTAATAACAGCTGGTGTGACATTATAACAACCTCACCCCATTATTAATCAATTACTATAAACTCCATGTGTTCAATACGTAGTTTCTCCACTCCGGCCCCGTACAGCTCACGAAGTATACAAACCATTCTTGTTTTCCCGACGGGCCATAAATTAGCAAATGAGGGAAATCATCAGACTGGACCCAATGAAGGGAGGGGCGAAAAAGACATAAAATTCCTCTCATAATTATTCTAATTTTTTTTACCAGTCTTTTCAAGCTGGCAGCTTGCTCCTGATGATAATGGAGTTTATTAAGGTTGGTTGGTCTGTACTTATCTACCCATAGACTCAATCTGAACTCTGAAAGCTCCTTGAAAGGCTCTCCCCCCAAAAACGTGTTGTTTACTAGTTAAAAATAAAATAATAACTATCATGCTGCAGCAAGTAAAAGGTGTGGCTGAATATAGGCGTGCATGCATAGATATAGATAGGTTGCAGTAGGCGTGGCCAATCATTAGAGTAAGGAAGCAATTTCTGGACACATTAGATTCCGGACAGCTCTATCTCGTCTTTTAGACTTGCTTCCGCTCTGAAATTTTCACACAATATAACTCTAAGCTAATTGAGATTGCGTAGTAAAGATGAGCTGCATTAAGCTAGTTTTGTTCTAGTTATCTTTAAAAGTATTAGACGTCCGACAATAGTCAAATATCGTCAGATAGAATCAAATTTAGTACATTTTATTAGTATTGGTAAATACAGCAATTGCAAGGTTGCAGTAACACTCTTACTTACTTAGTAGCCCTTCTTCTTTGTGAGGCACAAACCTTTTCCCTTCAACTTCACGTACATCAAGCTCGAACAGAATTTTAAGCGAAACTCTAATTGTCGTCCACTTATGCTCCACCCAATACGCTGCTGCCTCGTGTTGTTTGCTGTGTCAGGTCTCATGAGTCTCACCTCAGTTGTTTTAATCTTGATAACGAGGTTGATAAGCTGTTATTACTGTGTTTCACTCTCGGTTTCACTCGATAAGGCAAGTATTACACTTCATTTATCAAGCATAGATCTGTTTTGATTTAGGTGAAGTTTGTTGACATGTCAAAAAAACCTCTATCAGGAAGAATACTGGTATCTAATTCGTTAGTAGAGGCTGACCCTTCCAAGCTTGTTATCGAAAGACCCCAATATTATTGTCAGTGGGAAGATGTAAGCATGATTAAAGCATTGAAGGCAGTGGAGGAGGAAGGTATGTCCGTTCGTCATGCAAGTGAACTGTTTGGTGTGCCAAAGTCTACACTGCACGATCGGGTATCTGGTAAGGTTCAGCACGGAGCACATCCTGGTCCTTCAGCTTATCTCACGAAGGAGGAAGAAGATGAACTTGCTCGGTTTTTACTTCGCTGTGCTGACATTGGTTATCCCCACACTATTTCCCAAATTTTAGCAATTGTTCAGCAAGCCATTGATTTGAAGGGATTGAAGAGGACAGTTACAAAAGGCTGGTGGCAAAGATTTAGTGAGAGACATAAAGAAATTGCTTTACGATCAGCAGTTCCACTATCAACAATACGTGCTAAGGCAATGGATAATGATTCACTAAACAGATACTTTGATATTCTAGAAGATACTCTTAAGAAAAATCGTATTTTCAA